CCACTCCCACCCTGCCCCTCCCTCCCACCTTTGTCCCCCCTCAACCTCCCCCTCCCCCCACTCCCACCTCTGTCCCCCCTCAATCTCCCCCTACCTCCCACCCCTGCCCCCCCACTCCCACCCGTTTCCCCTCAATCTCCCCCTTCCCCCTCCCTCCCACCCCTGTCCCCCTGTGTTTCCTGCATGTGTGTCTGTGTGAGGGTGTCAGAAACCCTGGAACTTGAGTCACAGTTGTGAGCTGTCTTGTGGGTGCTGGGAATCGAACCCGGATCCTCTGGAAGAATAGTAAACACTCTTAACCACTGAGCCAGCTCCAAAAAAAAATTTTTTTTTCAAGACAAGATTTCTCTGCATAGCCCTGGCTGTCTTTGAACTCGATCTGTAGACCAGGCTGGCCTCGAACTCAGCTTCACCTGCCTGCTGAGCGGTCTGCCCATGTTTCTTCTTTAGAGCACTGGTTTTGATACAATGTTTCAAGAAAAGAAATTCTCACCCCCCGCCCCCCAGATCACAAAAACCTCCCCCAGCGCCTTCAGCTACTTTTTGTCTTATTTGTGAGCGCTAATCCGGGCAGGCGGTCGCTTGCCTCATTGGTCACCGTCTCCTAGCGATGCCCAGGCAGCCTGGTTCTCCCTTGTTCTCCCAGCTCCCAGGACATTGCTATCCTGCTGGGTCAGGGGTTTTCGTCCTGTAGGCTGAGTCCCTCCTATGGGCCTGTTCGAAACTGACTAAGCCGTTCCCAGACCTTTACATAGGTATGTGCGTCTTAAAATGAGTATCAGGTTTCTTTCAAAATCATTTATAGATTACCTTAGGGAGAATGGACGTCTTTATAATTTTCTTTTTCTTTTGTTTTTTTCAAGACAGGGCTTCTCTGTGTAATAGCCCTGGACTCCCTCTGTAGACCAGGCTGGCCTTGAACCCACAGAGATCTGCCTGCATCTGGGATTAAAGACATGTGCCTCATGGCCGGCGTAAACTTTTTATTTACGTTCATTTCATGTGTGTTGCATGTATGTCTGTGTGGGGTGTCATTCTCCTGGAACTGGAGTTACAGGTGTGAGCACCACCTGGGTGCTGGGAATTGAACTCGGGCGCTTTGGAAGAATAGCCAGTGCTCTTAAGCTCCAAGCCATCTTTCCAGCCGGAGGACCTTTTTTTTTTTTTTTTAACTTGTGTTCCTTTTACCTGAATGACTCTGTGCACCGTGGGTACGCCTGGCTCTCAGAGGCCAGAAGAAGGTGTTGGCTTTCTTGCAATTGAGAGTTACAGTTGTGAGTTGAAGCTGGGCGCTGGGAATTGTTGCTAGGTCCCCTTGAAGAACAAGCAGTGTCTTTTAGCAGCGGAGCCAACTCTCCAGCCCATTTTCTCTTTGTAAGTTTCTAGAGAGGAAATCTTTTTGCTCTGGGCCTGTTAACCCTGCTCCCCTCGGGGACTGCTGAGGGCTCCTCTCGGGCCTTTTCCTCTTCTTTTGGAGATTACATCTTGCTATGTAGGCCAGGCTGGTCTTGACTTTCCTCCTTTCTCAATGCTGGGATTAAAAGTGGACTCAGAGGTTAAGAGCACTGTCTGCTCTTCCAGAGGTCCTGAGTTCAATTCCCTGCACCACATGGTGGCTCATGACCCTCTATAGTGAGATCTGGTGCCCTCTGCTGGCCTGCAGGTGCACATGCAGACAGAGCGCTCATATACATTAAATATAATGGTTAAAAAAGAAAAGAGTGGGCTAAGGCACACTTTACTCTTCTCTTTGTTTTTTATTGTTAAAAGGCCTTTTCTCTATACTATATCATGAGGTCTCTGGTGTTATTTTTAAAAATACTTTTGTTTTTTTCAGACAGGGTTTCTTTGTGTAGTCCTGGCTGTCCTGGAACGCACCCTGTAGACCAGGCTGGCCTCGAACTCAGAGCTCCACCTGCCCCTGCTGGGATTAAAGGTGTGCACCCCCACTGCTGGGCTCAGGACCGTCATACTGACCTAGCCAAGGTCAAACGATTGCATAAGTCATTTCATCCAGTTTATTAAAAGTTTATTATTTTATTCTGCTCTGAATCTAAGCCCTTTTGATTTATGGGTCCATTTCCTGACACTTAAAAATTTCACATATACTTATGAAATTTCTGAATATATATATATTATATTATGTTTATTATGCACCCCCCCCTTTTAAGCCAGGCTTGGTGGTGCACACTTGGGAGGAGGAGGCCTGTGAGTTTATTCCAGACCATCCAGGGGCCAGGGCTACACAGAGACCCTGTCTCGCCCAAAGATTCTACTTCTCAGTGCTGAAAATACAGCTCAATGCTAGAGCACCTGCCTAGCACGGATGAGGCCAAAATTGGGTCCTAGTGCCATGAAAAGAAAATCCAGTTTTTACCCCAGTGCTGGAGAACCAGAGCTTCAGATGTCCTGGCCAACCACTTCACCTTGGAATTACACCGGCCCTAAACGTTCTAATGAGGGGGACTTAAAGGAAATATTTTGAGGTAATTCATTTAACCTAAAGAAGTATTGGAAACAGGCACAGTGGCTCACACCTGTAATCCCAGCACTCGGGAGACAGAGGCAGGTGGAGCTCTTGAATTCAAGACCAGCCAGAGCTGCAGCCAGAGCTCAGAAAGGGGCAGAGGCTGGAGAGATGGCTCAGTGGTTAAGAGCACTGGCTGCTCTTCCAGAGGACCCGGGTTCAATTCCCAGCCCCACATGGTGGCTCACACCTGTCTGTAACTCCTCTTCCAGGGGATACGGCACCCTCAGGAACATGCAGCTGAACACCAGTGTAAAGAGAAGTGATCTTTTAAGGGTTGGCAGCCAACCTCCGGCGTCTCTGGGCCCTGGGCTGGATTGCTGAAGGCTCCTCTTGTCCCTGCGGCAGCCTGGTCCACTTGAGAGGCTGCAGCAATGAGCGAGTTCCGCAGTTCCTGCTTGATGGAATTCCTAGGGACCCAGCTTGGGTCAGGTGCCCTCCCTGGAACTCGTCACTTGTGGTTAAGGAGTGTCTCAGTGGCTTAGTCTCTGCTGTCGCTGGGAACCCCCGACCAAGGCCACTCAGAGAAGGAAGCATTCGACGGGGCTGGCCCACAGCTTCAGAGGTGAGTCCATGGCATCACGGCGGGAGGCGGGAGGCGGGAGGCGGGCAGGCGTGGCACTGGGGCAGTGGCGGAGAGGGAGAGGAGGAGACGGAGGCGGGGAGAGGAGTGGGGAGGCCTGGCTAGGGCCTTTAAAACCTCGAAGCCCCGCGGGCCACCGCCCTCCAGGCCACTCCGCTTCCGAACAGCTCACCAGCTGGGGGCTAACCTGGCCAACGGCTGAGCGTTTGGGGTCACCCTCACGCCCACCGTCACATGGCCATTTCCTCTGGCCTTGAGGTTGGCGAGAATAGTTCGGGCAGAGGACGGGAGCAGCTGCTGCGATTATCTGTCCGGCAGTCGTCCGGCGTCGGCAGCCACGGCCGGCTAGTCTGCCGGCCGCCGCCCCTGCGGGGCCCGGGGCCCGAAGCGGCCGCTTCCTGCCGGGCAGGGACCTTCGCCCCGGAGAAACCGGGGTCTCCAGGGTGCACACCCGAGCGGGGCTCCCGGGCGTGTCCCCGCCCCGGGGTTATCCCCGGCCCCTTCCTGCTGTGCTAACGCTCGGGACGTTAGCGCAGGGGCTGGTCACGGCCTCCTTTCCTCAGGCGTCTCAGTTTGGTCCCCGTGTGTCTTGCTTGGTGACTGACTTTTACCGAGCCGCCCGCAGCCGGCACACCTGGGGCCCGGGCCTGGAGGGCTGTGGCGCTTGGGGACTGGTCAAACGGGAGTCTCCAGCCAACCCCGAGGGCAGCGAGGCCGAAGCGGCCAGGCCGCGGGGAGGGAGAAGCCCCAGGAGCAGCCCTGCGGCGCAGGCCCTCACCCCGGGCCGGAGGAGGCGGGGAACGGGAGCGGGGAGGGCAGAGGCTGGGGGGGGCGTGGGGTCTCGGAGGAGGGAGGGGAGCGGGCAGGAAGGGAACCGGTCACGAGAAGGTCCACCGTGGAGCCCAGTTACCATTCCCCTGCGGAAGGACCTCGGCCGCAGGTCACACGTTCAGGGCAGCAGTGACTGCTTTGCTGGCCTGGGGTGGTGGGCGCGGTGCGCGCACGGGGGGCGCCTGGCTAGGCTCTGGGCGCTGAGGGGGTGGGGGGGACTGTAGTTTGCTCTGGGCAGTTCGAGGCTAGCCTGGCCGGGTGTGAGCCCCTCCCGTAAAGGCCAACCGAACAAGGGTGAAAATGTTTGCTCCCTGCTGTGTACCACGAGCAGCACCTGGATCTCTTCGGAGAGATTTAACCTCGCCTCGCCCATGCTCACACCTGCAGTCCCAGCCCTTTGAGGATCAGGAGATCCTGGGGACCTCCTGGGGATCAGGAGTTCAAGGCCAGCCTGGGCTACATGGCGAGACTGAGGTATTTTGACAGCAGTATTGGTGAGCACCATAATGTGGCAGCAAGAAAAGGCAGGGAGTCGCAGGCGTCCTGCTGGGAGTTACGGGCCAGAGTGGGTTTATTCGGGGTGTTGAAGTGGGGGCCCAAACTGAAGCAGTCCTTGCCAGGTCAGGCATGTCGGTGCCCGCCTGTCCCATGGCCAGGTCTTTCGTCACGCTCCGGGTGGGTGTGACTTGGCCCCTGCAGGGGTCTGCTAGCACCTTCTGCGATGGGGGCGGTGGAGGCTGCTCCCCTGCGCACGCGCACAGGCTCGTGTCTGGAAGGCCGTCCCGGCCGGTGGAGGGGTGTGGTCCTGCTTGAGGCGGCGTGACCCCGGGGGTGCCACCTGCAGAGTGGAGCCAGGCAGCGGCTCCAGGGCCACCCTGCTGCCCGCCCGCCTTGCTGGTTATGGACCAGGGTGTCGAAGCACAGCAGCAGAGAAGTGGCTACCCCGGGGGGCGTGGGGGGCGCACTCCCTGGGAGGCCGGGCCAGCCACCCGCACAGGTGGTCCCAAGGGTTGCCAGAGGCTGGCCTCTCCTGCGGTGACAGGCCTGTGGCTACAGAGCCGCCTGGAGCCCACGCAAAGGAGGCTGGGACAGGGTGGGGCAAGGGATACAGGATGGGTCAGCTGCCTCTGGAAGCAGCCAGACCGGCAGATTAGGTGACAGTCCCCGGACCCAGCCCGGAACTAACGCCCTCCCCCCCTTCCCACGGGCACCCTGGGCTGCCCCTCCAGGGCTGCGGGAGCTCAGAATAACCCTGAGAGCCGGGCAGCGGGATGGCGGGGGCCCTGCTCCGGGCCCTGCTCCTCTCCGTGCTCCTCGGTAGGGGCAGGGGGCAGGGGATCCGAGGCCCAACAGGAAGGGGCGAGGGAAAGGACCAGGACCGGGGTGTAGCGCAGGACAGTGTGGGTCCCCGGGGCACGCCTTGGGTTTAGGAGACACCCCGAAAGATGAGCAGGAGCACCGCACGGGCCCTGGGGCAGGCTGCGGCTCCATGCCCAGTGGCCCTTCCTTCCCGGCGCCCCCAGGCGGAAGCCAGGGCAAGAGTGAAGAGCTCCGCCTGTATCACCATCTCTTCGACAACTACGACCCAGGGTGCCGGCCGGTCAGGAGGCCCGAGGACACGGTGACCATCACCCTCAAGGTCACGCTAACCAATCTCATCTCCCTGGTAAGGCCCTGCCCATCCTCAGCCTGCACCCTCTCGGGTGGCCCTCCGTCCCGGCTTCAGGCAGCTTCTTGCTGTTGCAGAACGAGAAAGAGGAGACCCTGACCACCAGCGTCTGGATCGGGATAGTGAGTCAGAGCTGCGGGGTGGAGGGATGCAGGCGGCCTTCCTCCTGCCAGGCCGCACCCAGGCGCTCACCGCCCCCCGCAGGACTGGCAGGACTACAGGCTCAACTTCAGCAAGGGCGACTTCGCAGGCCTGGAGACCCTGCGGGTTCCCGCCGAGCAAGTGTGGCTGCCGGAGATTGTTCTGGAAAACAAGTGAGGGCTGGCCGCGGGCGGGTGGGCGAGAGGGGAGGGCTGGGCTGCGGGAGCCCGTGAGGGAGGGCCGTGGGGAGCAGGGTGGACAGTGGACGGCTGTGAGGAGCTGGGTGAGGGAGGGCTGAGGGAGGCTGAGGGAGCCTGGTGGACAGCGGTGAGGAGCCAGTGGACGGCTGTGAGGAGCTGCGTGAGGGAGGCTGTGAGGAGCCCGGTGAGGGAGGGCTGTGAGAAGCC